AAATCCTCAGAAATACTGCTCTGTCGAACACCACAGACTCTCAGCCACAAAACATTAACAGGCTTTGGGAATATCTCAATCTCTGTTTTCTTCTGTTTTCATGAATGTGCAATGGCCAATCTGAAAGGGTCTGCACCTCAGAAGATGTGGTGCCTACACTTGAGTGGCTTTCAATAGATCATATATAAGTACTTAGGCTACAGTGATGTTTAAATTTGGGAGTCCAGAATTTAAGAACTATTGATGGATTCACAGACAGTTATCTTGGTTAGGGTACTTGACAGTAAAGAAGAAATGGTACTATACATTTTTGTACTCAGATCATAGGTTTATAGGGATAGGAACTACAGTTGCCAGGTAGTTAGGACATAGGAGTAAGTGTACAAACAAAAGGGCAGCCCAAAATATTACAGGATGGTGGCATTCCTAATCAAAGATGTTTGAGAAACACAGACAAGCACAACTAGCAAACCTGCAGTGAAAAGTAGTAATTTCATCAAGAATCCAGTTACAACACTTCCTTTTTTATCCCCCTCTGTAACAAAAAAACCCAAAACTCTGTTTCAAAGTCAGACACAGATGATTTAGGATTGAAAAACAATCTTGTGTACCACTGATACCCTAAAAAAACACTGTATTTACATAAAGCTCTGTCGTTACTATCATTACTCGTAAGGTCAGGCCCTAATTGAGGCAGTCACCTCTCACTGCAACACCTATGGTCCACCTCGCACTGCTTACTATCCTATTTCCGTACACTCTCCTGCACCAGCGGTACTACTAACACCTTTCTGAAACGCAGAAGGGCGGGCAGCAAGCGTGGGAAAACGTCAGGGGAAATAAATACAGCAACGCTACAAAACTGCAGGGGTGGCAATAAGACTTCAGAATTACTTTGCAGGTGTTCAGCCGAGGATGGAAGGCAGGAAGCCCGTCCGACACCTCCAGAGCCGCTCGGCTGTCTACGAGCCGCGACAGGCAGGCCCCGAGAGCGCGGGCCCCATCACCTCTGCTCCCCAGCGGGCAGGCCCAGAGGCTCGCAAACAGCGCACCCACAACCCCCGGGACTCCCGAGGGCCGGCCTGAGCCGCCTGCAGGGAGCAACAACGGAGGGAAGCCAGGCCCGGTGGGGACGGCACCGCCTCCCTTCGTTTCCCTGTCCCGTGGCGGCGCCCGCCCCGCGGCCCCCACGCCTGCTCCCCGCGCCAGAGCCCGTTTCCCGCAACAAGTGCAGCTGCCGGCGGAGCCGCCTCCCCGGCCAGGCCCACAGCCGCTTCCCGCGCCGCCTCCCGCCCGGGGGCGCGCCCAGCGCCCGGCGGGAGCGGTAACGGGAGAGCAGGAGCCGTAACGGGAGCGGGCGGGCCGCGCGCCGGCCCCGCCCCGCGCCCTCCCGCCCGGGGAGACGCGGGAGGGGGAGGCAGGAGCGCGCGCGGCCAGTCACCTTGGCATCATAGAGCACTTTGGCTTTGGTGGGGTCGGGCTCGAAGCAGAGAACTCTCTCTCCCCGGTGGAACTTAAATTTCATTCCCCGCGAGGTCATTTGTTCATCATGGCGCAAAGGAGAGGAGCCCCGCCCGCTCCCGCGGGGAGGTGCCGCGGACGGCCCGGCCCCGCCCCGCCCCCGGCTCCTCCGGCGGGGGCGGGCGGCCGGGACGGAGCGGGGATGCAGCGCCCGGCTTCGTCTACTCTCTGCGGGGGAACGGCGTTCGGCCCCGGGCGCTGCGGGGACGGCCCGACCGCTTGTGCCCGCCCCGTCGGTCACGCGGGGTGCGCGGCACGGGATGCGGGAGCCGGCGGCGGGAGGGGCGGCGGCGGCGGCGCGGGGGCCGCGTCCCTCTGGGCGGAGGGGTGGCCGCCTGCCCTGGGCCGGGGGAGTCCTTGGAGGAGGGCGAGAGCTGCCGGCCCTGGCGGCGGTGCCCCAGCGCTATGGGAACCGGGGCGTGCGCTGGGCCTGTGCCCGCCAGCGGAGCAGGCCAGGGTTAAGTGCTCCCCGAGAACAACAACTGCACTTCTCTCTGCTGCTGCTTCCCCTAAACATCAGCAGATGTTCCCATTCCTCACCCTCTCTCCCGTGCTCTCTGCTAGGCAAAAAAATGCCCTTACTTCCAAGATGGCTTTGTGTACATTGTAACTTCCCGCAAAGGTTTTTTTTTTGCTCTCCGTTGTTCTTTCAGCCTTCCTTCAGGAAAATAAATCAGAAATAAATAGGGTGTTGGTACTAGAAACTCTATCTGCTGTTTAATTTCAGATTCTACAAGCATACATATAGTGCAGATAATCAAAATCAATACACAGCTTTCTTGCCAGTTGATGCTGGCTGATGCCTGGAAGGGACCCATGGGGTTCAGCCAGAAGAATGCTGCAGTTTCCCACATGATGTTATTAGATGCTCCCTCAGGGCTGTTGCAGTTTTTTATGCCAGTTCTGGATTTCTGATTTACACAAGACCATAACAGGACTGGGAGGCCTGGGCTTAGCCAGCCTTGTGGAAAGACCAGTTAATTTGTGATTATTTAGCATTTCTGAAGTTGTTTTTCTGTGGAAGTTGTTCAGGAGATGGATGACTAGACTGCAACTCTAGACTGAGCATACACTAGTTTGATGCTAAGGGGAAGAGGATTTTAAATCCTCATATTTTTTTTCAGTCACTGAGACTGATAGCAAAGCTAGAAGCTGTAAGGAATGCCATGGGAAAGAACATAGAGTTCTATCTAGTGCATTACCAGAAAGTTTCTCAAGGTAAAAAGTGATAGGGGGTACCCAGAAAACAAGATTCTGAGAAGGTGACTGCTCCTTGGGATAGGATGAACTGAATACTCAATTTCTTTTGATTCAAAACATACTTTTTATAGTGAGAATGGCTGGAAAAGCCTATAAACTTGCTGCTAAGACTGTGTGGAGTGAGAGAAGCCAATTGATGGAAAAGAGTGAGAGAAAGTTAAGGAAGCATTCCTGAAATTGTTCAGAGCCCACTGATGCTAAGGTTAGGAAACAGGCTCCAAAAGTGCATGGATGCAATGTCAACTGCAGGAAGTGGGGGTTTTTTGTTGTTTTGTTTTGGGTTTATTTGTTGTTGTTGGGGTTTGTTTGTTTGTTTTGGTAAGATAAAGAAAATGGTGTTGGACATTTGGAGAACAAAGCTGCTTCCAAGAGACTACTGTGCTTTAAAAATGGGGGGAAACAGCAACAATCAAACAAAACAAGGGAAGGAGAATCACCAACTTGTGCTTAGGTCCCTTCCTCCAACCTGGTGTTAAGAGTACTCATACAAGAGGACTCTCACACCACTTGTGCATAAACAGCTTATGTATTTCCACACTGCATCCTAGATGACTCCTTTTCCTTCCTCCCCACTGGTGTCCACTTGCAAACTCTGCTTCTTGTTCATCTCAGCCTCTCCTAGTTCACCCCAGCCCACTTTTATGGCTCCCACCCAATCTACTCCTCAAATCTTTTGGCTCAAAATTTCTTTTTACTTGGGCCTCCTAACACTTACATACAACTTGCTGCCATAGCATTTGAGATCCAGTTGTTGTCCTGTTTACTCTCTCCCTGCTCCCACTCTCAGAGAGATGCACATGTGCATCCATCCATATCTCTCTGAGCCACCTTGCTGTAGATAATCCTTGCCTACAGATCCCTGGCCTTGCCAGATCATCTACCAAGGCTCCTCCTCCAGCAGGGTTTTCAAAATCCTGTATGTGAGCTGTGCTTAACTAAGATCCACCCAAAGGGAGACAGGAGAGGAGGAATACTGGTGTGTTTATGGAAAACCCATGAGAATACTACCCAGGCAATGCCTACTTCTAGATAAAATACAGAATGTGGACTTTTCAAAGATACTGAATTACCCATAGTGAAAACTGTCAAATGGCTGTCCAAAATCAAAATTAAAGAGCAATAGCCACTTGGAAAATGGTGTCTGTGTGTGTACATACTGTTTGTGCACCACCTGTCATGAGTTGTTCCTGCCATATACAGCACAAAAACAAAAGGCCCAGTACAGATATAAGAGATTTAGCAAAGGTTGAACTACAGCTCTTCACTCGTGGGCAGCAATTCTGCAGCAAGGAGAAATTACAGACAACAGAGCAATGTCAGGCAGCATCTTCAGGATCATGGGCCCAGATACTGAGGAACAGTGAAGGCAGCGAATGGTGGAAGAGGCCAGCGGCTGGGTTTGTTGAGTATTGCTGAAGCAGGAGATAAGCTGACCCACCATGTATTTTGAGGACATTCCCAGGACACTACATCGCCTCCAGGAAAGAAAAGCAGATTTACAGCTCCTCTGGGAGACAGAGCAGCCCGGGAGTGGAGAGTTTGGCCTCCTGCCAAAGTGAACCCAACGAGATCATGAGGGCTAATTCGGCAAATTCGAGGATCTATTTCAGCTGCGCGCCTCACTGCAGGCTCAAAGCACACCCTGAGAAAGTTTTGTTCAAGGACAAGTTTTATTTCAAGAACACATTGTGTTTCAGCAACGCAACCCGCGGTGTTTGTGAGAGGGAAGATGGAGGCGGCGCAAGGCTCGCTGGGAGTTGTAGTCCTGCTGCGGCGCGGGCGGCGCAAGGCTCGCTGGGAGCTGTAGTCCTGCGGCGGGCGCGGGCGGCGCAAGGCTCGCTGGGAGCTGTAGTCCTGCGGCGGGCGTGGGCGGCACTCTGGCCCGAGGGGAAGAGGTGCCCGAGTCCCCTGAAGAGGAGAATTCCCTGCCTCGATCCTTCCCGCGCAGTGCGCTGGGAATACCGAAGCTTGGGCTGTCCGGGGAAGAGAGGTGCCCGTGGCTGCCCGCGATCTGCTCTATGCGGAGCCTTCGCTGCCCTGGTGTGTGTAGCCTCAGTTTTACCCCCATGTCTGCTGGTGCTGGGCTTCTTCCTATACTTTTGTCACAAAGGTGACAGCACCCTAAAGACACACCCAGACAGTCTGGCAAGATGCAGTACGCGTACTGTTAGTTGCTATTGTTTGAACGTGCCCTGCTTTTCATTGTTTCTCCCGGGATCGATGCTCGGTGCCAGGTGTGTATTTTACCTGGTTCACCTGGATTGGTGCGGTGCTGAAGGGAGGACACGTCAGCCGAGGGCAGTGGGGACAACGGGTGTTTCCATGAACTCCAGCACCCACTCTTCTTGTAAATCCCGGTGAGATTTCTGTTATACCTAAGCAATCAGTAATTCTTTTAGCCCTCACTCAGTTCTTTAAAATCCCTCCTTCATTTGTTCAGGCTGGAAACGGCAATCAGAAACCTTTAAGCATTCTGAGGGTATTTTGACTTTATGAGTCTCTCATCACATTGGCCATATTGGAATCTCTTAAAAGTGTACAACTTTCTCCCTAAACTTTTATTCAACAGCCACCACCTGCATGTTCTCTTATATGTTTTGCTTGTTAGAAAGCAAAATTATTTGTTCTGGCATTGATCAGGGCAAGATATTTTTTTTTTTTCAGAGTGACATTCTTCTTTTTTGCCTCTTCGTTTTTTAAAAGGAATTATAACCAGGAGTTTTAGTATTAGGATCCTGGAAATTTCCCCATTAATATTACAGGACACTCAGAGGAAGCAAAGGACATCCACAATGAGCAGGAGGAAGAGGCAGTTAGAATCAAAGCACAGCTCACAAGAAAGAGACAAGAATCCTTTAAGAATGTTGTATTGTATAAAAATCTTGCTGTATTGCAGTGCAGAGAATACAACTTCAGTGAGTGTCTGCATGTTTAATGAAGCAATAATCCAGTTGTCCTCTCCCTGTAGTTAATAAAAAATTAGCTAAACACCAACATAAAGCTATCCTTGATTTTTTGAGGAAATCCTCAAAAAGCTCAAATGGTGAATGTTTAATAAGGAGAACATACTTCTTTAGGACCTCTAAACTATATATAAAGGCATATAGAAATACTAAACTATTTGCTTAATTTTATTAAGGCAAACCCTGCTGTTTAACTATTTGCTTGGTTTTATTAAGGCAAACCCTGTTGCTTTCAAATCTCCCAAAGTTAATCCCTGGTGTTTACACTCATTTTGCTGTTTACATTGGCTTCATGAACCTTTAGTGTAAATAGAGAAAAAGAAGTAAGGATTCTTCCCATGAAACAGCTCAAGGAAGACATTGTGACATCACTTAAATGAAGCACGCTTCCTGTTTCAACATAATTAAATTCTGAGATCCTAAAAATAAAAACAAAGAGAAGAAAAAAAACACCCTAATTTATTGTAAAGCTACAGACATCTCAGGGATTAAAAAGGGCTACAGATGGTGAGATTATTGTTACCTATGAAGGACATTCCTCCTGATGTTCTTATTTGGGTGTCTATTTCAAACAGCGGTTTCAGCCAAAGCAGTTGTTGTTTCTAGGATCAAAACTAACATTTGCTCTGCACAAGGAAAAAAATCTTTTGTGATTCTAATGCCCTCAAGGGTTTCAGCAGGATCACAAAATCACAGAATATGCTGAGTTGTAGGGGACCCACAAGGATCATTGAATCCAGCTCCTGGCCCTTCACAGCTCCATCCACTATGTGCCTGACAGTATTGTCCAGAGGATGGTGACCTTAGTGTCACAGGTGCCTTCTGCCATCTCTGTGAAGCTAAGACCAGATTCTTGCAGTTGGACTATGTTTATAACACCAAATACAACAAGTGAAGGCACTTGGCTTTTTGGCCAAGTGCCAAGACCTGACCCGATCCATAATTACAAAGCAATTGCTTCCTTTCCATGGACCTAAGATACAACTGTTAGTATGTTTGTGCTTTTTTTGTTATCTCTTTCTTTTCCTGAAAAAAAAGGGTAATTGGAGTGATATTTTCATAGTATGAAGCTGAGAAGACATGAAGCTATGCACTGGAGAGTCTGAAGGCAGTGAAAAAAGGTGGTGCTAGGCACAGGAAGAGGGAAAAGGGGAGGCTGGTCTGGTGTTTGCCTGGTGCATGCTCCCTGCTGGAATGGGCTGCACACTCACCATCTCCTGATCTGGATTTTGTCTGGGACAGTGTGAGCTGACATGAGCCAAACCTTTTCCAGGACACATGCTTGCAGTGAAGCATAATGAGCAATTAGCTGTCCAGTGCTTAAGCTCATTTCCAGGCCCTGTTTTTTCTAAATCTGTGGTCATAACTTTAGAGTCCTTCGGGGAGAAAACCACTCCACATTATACTGCGTGTGACTGGTAGAGTTTTTTTTTATTTTAGAAGGTCTCAGGCCAGGGTTCCTTGAAGAAGCTTAAGAAGTTTCTGCTGTTTTCCCCTCCATCACCAGCTGTCCTGGCACAGCTGTGTGTGTAATAAGGAGCCTCACTGGAATATAGGTTGAGCAAATGTAGCTATGGCAAAGTTGAGTAGAAGCTTGGGCTGAAGTACAAACAACATATAGTGACAAATATTCTTAGAAATTAATCAAGATCTTAATAACTCTAAGTAGAGTTATTACAAAATACACATTACTTTTGACTTCAGTATTTTTGCCTTCGTTCCTGTCTTGTGAAATAACAATAATACTTCAATCTAGAAGAGAACTAAAGCTGGGATTTCCCTACCTTTCTGTTTTAATTGAACTGTGAGGGAGTCATGAAGTGTGAAATGGTGCTGGCATCAAGGCAGCAGGCTGTATAATCTTCAGGCCTTCAGCTGTGTTTCCAGTTTTATCTTCAGATTATCAGTGGACCAAGAATTTTAGGAGAAAACATACTGATCACACTTATCCTGAGAGAGGCTTGACCACAGTAGCAGAGTGTGATCAATGAAGCTGCAGAAGTACTTAAGGGGGGGGGGAAAGGATGAAATAATCATAATCACAAGTAATTCAAAGATTGTGCATTGAGGCTTTACAAATGCTCATCCCCATCTGCATAGAATAAATACAAGGAAAATGGACAAAAATCTGCTGTTTTCCTTAAGGGTTTGTCATTATTTTATGTTGCTATGGAGTGCAAAAGTTGTAGGGGAAGAGGTAGAAATAAGGTATTTATACATACCACGTATCATGGAAATTATTTGTCTGTAGTAGAAAACATACTCTGGGTGTTAGGGTTGTACATACTTTTCATGGGAAAGAAATGGCTCTCTTGGAATGCAAACCTCCCTCATTCCTGGCCTTCGCTCTGAGACATCGTAAATAATGCAGCAAGCTGCTGCCCCGAAGTCAGGAGCTTGGAAAGGAAGAAAGAGATACAGCCCTTATGTCTGCCTTGGTGACCAGAGCAGTGCTGGGCAAGGCAGGGTGTGTAGGGGGGCGTGTGCAGTTCAAGCCAGGAGAGAACAGCTGGGGCCCCTGCAGGAGGGTTAGGGGGTGTTGTGTGGCTCATGAGATGCAGCCAGTGCCAGAGAGAGCAGAGGGCACCCCAATGCCCCAACACTGAGGGCAGCAGAAGCTGCATTTGTGGAGCACAGCCACAAATGCATCCTCCAGCTGTCAGCCTGGGTCACCCAGGCTCTCAGGAGCACAGCCTTAAAAGTCAGCCCTTTCCATTTTGCAGTCCCATAGCAAAGAAGTGTTACTTGCTTTCTTCTTTGCTATAAAACCACTCCCTGGGTATTGATGTTTGTGCTGCTCTAGAGACCCTTGTAGTTGCAGGCAGTCCTTTGATGTGGTCTGCAGAAGAGTCCTCAAGTTCAGGCAGGCTGCCCAAGCTGAGGTGAAATTACTTTTGGAGGGGGCCTTAGGATGCACACATGGCCCTTGTTTTTAATGTAACCTCTGTAACCCCAGCAGTCCTGCTCTTTACTACCCCCATTTTCTATTTCAACACTTTTTCTTTTCCCTCTTTCATTGTATCACTTGTGATCCCCCACAACCATTTTTTTTAAGTGTTTTTCTCACCCACTTTCCATTTCGGTAGGGTGGGGAGAAATGAACTGACACTTTGTTCCATAACAAAATGGGCTGCCATTTCTAGCTGGCATGGAGGATCAGTGACAAAATTTGCAGCTGTTTTTTTACCTAAGCCTTTTGTTCAGCTCCTCTGACTTCTCACTCACTTGGTTGAAGTGCATGTTCCCAGCAGTATTTGTTAGATTGAAGGGTTTTTGCATGACTTGGAAAGGGAAGGCTGAGAATATGCATGAGTTCAAGATTTTTCCTCATGTTGGTGTAAGAGTATAAACTGGCAATTAATGAAAATAAATGATGGTTGATAAAAAAACAGAACAACCAACCAACCAACCAAAAACTGACTTTGTGCATTTATTCAAAGAGGCAGAAGAGTTATTGTAAAGTACAGGTAAGCAAATTACACCTTCCCCACTTGATCTATGAAATCCCCTTTTCCAAAGGTGTGTCCTTATGCTGCCAAACATACTGCATAGTTTCAGCTGATGTACTGGTACAGTAAAGTCTTTCTTTTCATATGCCCATTCTTTTGCTAAGCTCTATTTTTCATAGTCACCTTATTCCAAAATATAAAAAGGGGAGAGACTTAAAAAAAGAAATACCTGAGATAACAAGATACAATGTGGTCTTTTATTCTGTAAAATCACTCAGTCAACACCTTCTGTTCCTCCCTTTGCTTCTCTACCTGCACATTGAACAAGTCAGCCAGAGCAGTTTCAGAAGTCAAGGTACAGAGTGATATTGAAATATGATTTAGCATTCTTGAAATGTTTAGCAGTTTCTAATACAACAGGACATGGACTATACTTGTGGAAGATCAATGAAAGACGTTACCCAGGTAACCTTTGGAAAACCCAAATAACAGGCCTGCTATAATGAAGATCTATTTCCTTGAAGCATTCTTAACAGTTTTTCATTTGACATGACAAGAGCACTTCTGAATTATTTCTAAATGAACAGAAAAGGAAAAATCCATATGGGGGAAATTGTTTCTTAACTTAATCTACTTTTACTCTTTTCATTAAAGAAATAATGGTGGAGATAGGGCCAATTGTAAAGTTTTAAAAGAACATTTTCTTGTGTTTATAATCTGTCCTGTAGTTTGATATTTTCAAGGTTTCAAGGCTTTATTTGGCCTCTATGCTTTTAAGTGATTTTTTCTTTTCAGAATTCATGAAAGTTTTTAGGCATCTCTTAAGTTATTTAGACCCTGAACATAAATTTCCATGATTAAAAGATTTTTGGAGTATGCATTTCCTTTTCTTCCTTGCTTGGGTAGCTCCAAAATGACTTTAGCTGTAAACTTGGCATGCAGTTG